GTTCAGGTGGAAGGAGCAGCAATCTCTGCTGGTTATGGTATCATGTAGGGTTCAGGTAGAAGGATCAGCAATCTCTGCTGGTTATGGTATCATGTAGGGTTCAGGTAGAAGGATCAGCAATCTCTGCTGGTTATGGTATCATGTAGGGTTCAGTTATAGAGATGTTGATTGCGGCGGTGGGCGTGGCCTCAGACCGCTCTTGTTTTCAACACAAGGCAGGGTTGCTAAGCAACAGCCGGGGTCTTCTGAGTGACGGCAGCTTCCTGGAATTTATCACCTCCAGGCTGCCGCCCAGCAGACTCTCCTGGCCTTCAGCCACAGAATGAGGCGGCAGGGTTACCCATGATGCATTGCTCCGTTCAATGTTATCTGCGTTTAGGCGACAGTTTGAAGATTTGGTTTTAAAATGAAGGTCCAGATGTTTTAATCTGAGCTGATCCAGAATCAATCCCAGACCTGCTCAGGGGAATTGCTCTTAGTAGCCTTCATCCTAAGGCTGCTCGTCATCATCAGCTGCTCCACCCTCAGTGGGTCTTTTCTCTTCATGGCTTAGAAAACATTTCTGATTATCTCTATAGATGTCCTGGAGTTTTCTGACATTTAATCCTAATCTCATATAATCTGGAGTGATTATAGTTTTAAAGCTGATTCTCCACATGTGTGAATTTAACTCTTGTTAAACGATTAACTGCTAAAGATTTTCAGCAGAGCTGAGCTCAGTTTGTTACTAAGGCAACTATTGCTGTTTATGGGCAAATGATTTAATAAACATTTTAAACAATTTAATGAAAAATTATAAGCTGCCTTTTTGAGTCGAGAAAACTAAAGTGGTGATTAAAAAAAAACGTGAAAATATGCTGGCAGGCGTTGGAGTCAGTGGGAGCCACAAAATACGATGATAATGCCACTCAGTAAGTCCTTGACCCAGATGACTTGGTCAATTATAGACCTATATCCAATCTTCATTTCTGATCTAAAATTCTAGAGAAAGTAGTTGCCAAACAAGTGTTCAATCACTTCCACCTTAATGAACTTTTTGAAGAGTCAATGAGTCGATGCAATCAGCTGGTTTTCCTTAGATAGAAAACTTGAATCAATCTGACTGGATGATCTGGTTGATCTGGATCTATAAAGTGACCTGATGTGAATTGGAGCTATAGAAATACACTGAATAGAATGGAAAAGATGCCACAATAAACTCAGAGGAGGCCAGGATTCAGCCAAAATGCCAGAGCTGCTATGAAAAACATCCCATGGCAGCTGCCGCTGCTTTAGTGGAACCAAACGGGATGTCAGGATAGATTTTGAGTAAATAAGTAAAATGATAACTACTTTCAATTGATGATGTCATTGGACCCAAAGTGCTATGGGACGTTGGAGGCGTTTTTTCCTGTGCAGCTGAGATTGTTGGATGAAACATTTTATAAGCCTTAGGTCATAAATCTGAACAATGTAATTGAAATAAATGATATCTCAGAACTAGAATGGAGTCATTTTGAAGCGATGTCGTCATCCTGATGCACAGAGGGGAGCTTTTCTCCTTGCTTTCCTCATTACCAAACATGGGACCTTCTAATGGAGAAGTCAGGAGAAGCCTGTTTGGTGGTTGCTGTTCCGCTCATTGATCTGTTCATCTCTGCTCAGAAAAAGAAGAAAATGAAGAATAGAACCTGTGAGGAAGAACGTTTGCTTTCCTCCATCCTTCCTGCTGGATCCCCTCAGAAACACTTAGCATAGATTGGTTGGAAAAAACAAATTTGGAACAAATTTTGGTGACATTAAGCAATAATTACCCAATATGTTGGTTTTTAGGATGTTGAAGAACCGTTTCCGTCTGTATGTGTGGCTCAGTTAAATGAATGATGCTTGTTATATAAAATATCAGCTGATTTAAGCTGAATTCTGGTGTTTTTCCTAATCTGGGCTTAACTGAAGGATTAGCAGCAGCATCTACTAGTGAAGTTCTATTGAACGTTTTCACCTCTTGGATGCAGTTTGTTTTTCCCAAAGTCTAAAACTTTCCTTTGCAGCATTGGGTGTAGAGCATTGAAGCGGCCATGATGTTTTTATTCTTAGAGCCAGAGGAGGATTTGAGCTCCTGCCCAGAAAGGAAAGCTGTTAGACTGGGATCATCCTGATGGAAACTGGTTTTCCTAAAGATTTGCGTTTCCTAAATATGGGATGACGTCTCCTGGAAAGCGTCATCCAGGAGACACAATAAAATGTGATTTTATTCCACATGTTCCTGCTCCTCCGTATGATTAAAGGAGGTGGAGGTCAAGTTTCAGTGCCAGCTGCCTGCATCCTGTTAGGTCTGCGTTAGGCCGTACGCTGTGAGGGACGGGGCGCTATCAGCAGCACGCAGCCGCTGGCGAGCAGCTGGGAAACACCCAGCTCTCAGGAGGGGGACGGACGCTGAGAAATGGAAAACATCTGTCCACGCCCAGCGCAGCGCCGACTGCCTGTCTGCGTCCTTCTCCTCAGACGCCAGTAAAGAGCGCACTAACATGGGTGCGGCGTCTTGTTATGTCACCCTTCCTGTTTCTCTGTTGAACTGTGACTTATTTCCAAAGTGGGCGGAGCCTCATGTGTTGCATCAAGCTGTGAATAAAGCGTGTTGGATGCGCAGCAGCTAAACAGGAAGGAAACCAGTCCTGTCTGCTCATTTAATCCTCCTGCATCATTAATCATCTTCCTGTTGCTATGGTGACCTCAAAATAAAAATAAAAACCTAAATACCCAGCAGCCAGTGAAGGTAGCCAGGCCTAGGCCCCGCCCACTCCAACGTCCATCCATCATTCAATTCAATTCAGATAATTTTTTTATAATATAATTATTATTTAAAAACATCTGGGATTATTTGGCCTTAAACTGACCTTTGATCTGTTCTTTGATCTGTTCTTTGATCTGTTTGTTTTTCAAATGTCAGCCGTTCTTCTCACCGTTCTCCCCCCCCCCGGGTCTTCCTGCAGTCTGCGGCTGTGACTTGGCCCAGGGGGGCTTCTTTGTGCGGCAGGGTGAGTACATCTGTACTCGGGACTACCAGGACCTGTACGGGACTCGCTGCTTCAGCTGCCAGGACTTCATTGAGGGGGAGGTGGTGTCAGCGTTAGGAAAGACCTACCATCCTCGCTGCTTCGTCTGCGCCTCATGCAGGTGAGATGATCTGATTGAACTGATTCTACAAAGTTCCTGGAGATGCTGTAGGGCTGAACTGAGGATGGCGGGGGGAGGGTTGATTTTCAGTGGTGTCCAAGTTTACCAGTAGTTTATGGATGTATTAAATGACTAGAAGTGGAAGTTACATCCATCAATTTATCATCTTCGGGTTGCGGGGGGTAGCAGCTTCAGCAGGGTTAGGTTACACTAGGCCAGCTGCGAGACGTTAGTCTCTCCAGCGTGTCCTGGGTCTCCCCCTGGGTCTCCCCCTGGGCCTCCTCCCGGTGGGACGTGCCTGGAACACCTCAACTGGCTCCTCTCGATGTGGAGGAGCAGCGGCTCTACTCTGAGTCCCCCCCGGGTGACTGAGCTCCTCCCCCTCTCTAAGGGAGAGCCCAGCCACCCTACGGAGAAAACTCATTTCAGCCGCTTGGATCTGGGATCTCGTTCTTGTTTTCCATTTTGGTGCATGAGCGTAAACAATAGTCGTTTGTTAGAGCTGGGGTTGGGGATGAGGGTTGAATGGTGGTGGTGGGGGCTGGTACTCCCTCATTCCTCAGTTCTTCCAGATCATGACTGGGGGGTGATGCTGAGAGTGGCCTATAATTCAATATGTAGGGCATCAGGGTGGGCATATTCACACCTCTGTTCTATTGGCTCCACCTGGTGATGGGGCTGGACCCTAGGGGTTGGTCACTGCTCGGCCCCCTGGCCTTTGGCTTCGATGTCTTGTCCGTCTGCAGGGATGGGAGGGGCCAGTTCTGGAGATTGGGTGGAGGATCATGGATGGATGGATGGATGGATGGATGGATGGATGGATGGATGGATGGATGATGGATGGATGGATGGATGGATGGATGGACCTTTTGACCTTCTGTGTGACCTTCTGTGTGACCTTCTGTGTGACCTTCTGTGTGACCTTCTGTGTGACCTTCTGTGTGACCTTCTGTGTGACCTTCTGACCTTCTGTCTGACCTTCTGACCTTCTGTGTGACCTTCTGACCTTCTGTCTGACCTTCTGACCTTGTGTGTAACCTTCTGACCTTCTGTGTGACCTTCTGGCCTCGTGTGTGACCTTCTGACCTTCTGTCTGACCTTCTGACCTTGTGTGTAACCTTCTGACCTTCTGTGTGACCTTCTGGCCTCGTGTGTGACCTTCTGACCTTCTGTCTGACCTTCTGACCTTCTGTGTGACCTTCTGACCTTCTGTGTGACCTTCTGACCTTCTGTGTGACCTTCTGACCTTGTATGT